GCCATAAAAAAAAAAAGAATGACTAAAATAAATAGATGCATCTTGAAGAAGGAAGAGAATTCCAACTTGTAAACTACAAATCATATGATGTTTGTTTTGTTGCTTTATTGTACTTAATTACATCTTGACAAAGTTAGTATTTCTTTTTGACTTAGTTACTGTATTTTCATTCATGTAGGATGAAGTTGAAATTGTTGGCTGAAATGGTGGAATTGAGACCTATTCTTCTCTACTGTCTTCCATGATTATATAACATAGTAGTATATCATGATATGATGGGTTTGCCAAACTCTTTATGTTTTCTATAATTAGTAATACTTTAATAGAAATATTCCATGCACCACAAGTTCCCTGAGTGTGGCTGATTTTTTCAGTTTTGGTCCTTATTTGAGGTTTTTAACGTTTTTTATTCTTGTTAAAAGTAAAATTTCAAAAAGTTTGGGACCAAAATTGCAAAATTCAGCTCTTCTTGGAACAGGGACTGGAAATATTACAAGTCAAGTTCATAAATTAGTTATAATTAGAGACCAAAAGTGTATTTTACTCTTCTTTCTAAGTTTGTGTTCTTTTTTGTATCAGATAAAGCATGCGATTCGTGCATACAAAAACACATTTATGCGTACACCAATTACTACAATTACTGTTTGTATACAATTCTATTTTTACTCAATGAAAATGTTGTCTTTACCTTCCAGAATCTTTAAATTTTCAGGAAACATTCGGGTTTACTGCAGAATTAGACCTGCATTGCATTTAGAACTGACACAAATAACGTGCTTGATTACATTGGAGAAGATGTGTCGTTAGTGGTTTTAGATCTTTTAAAGATGTAAAAAAACGTTTCAGTTCAACGATGTTTTTGATCCAACTGGTGTGGAAGGTAATAATAGAATTCAAATATTTTTCCACAATTCTAGAACCTTCTGTTGACAGATGAGGTTTTTGCTGACAAGAGAAAAAAAATAACACAGCGTCAACAGCGCGCATGATTCCCCTCTAGTTGTAAAATAATAGCTGTAGTGACCAAGGTGAAAAACAACATACACACATTTGTTTATAGTATTAGATTGTTTATTGTAGTAGTAAGATATACTTCTTTTCCTCATAATAAACAGAGGATGCTATTGCTATCTCTATATCAAAAGTTACACAGGTGGATTGATCAACTTACTTAATTTTCCCTTTTTATACATACATGTTCATATCAGTTTATCTTTCTAATGTTCTGATTTGTTACAGATGCAGATTAAGGAGAAACAGAAAGAAGTTGATTGAAATGGTAAATTCTTTTGGTAGCAAGTTTTAAACACTACAAAATGCAACTTTATAAATTTAACTAGACTATATTACAATTATTCCTTTATGATATTTGGCATATGCCATAAAGTAAGTATTACATATCTTAAAGATAGCATTCTACTTCCAATTTTCTTTGTCTTATTGTCACGTTATACTTCATGTTGAACAAACAAAAAAAAGGTGATTGGTCAAGCAAGTGGTGATGTTTTGTTAATAAAACTTAGATAGTTTTGAAAACCTAAAAAACATTTGTTAAGTTGTAGATTGTTCTTCTGTGCACTTTAGGTGTTTGATGAAATGTATTGATTAAGTTAAAGAGTTGTTTTGCTTTGTTTTGAGGGTGAAAATGGTATTGGATCAAATTATGTAGAGAAATTCACAACCCAAATTAAAATATTAAACAACTTATTGAGCTTTTAGAGATTCAATTAGGGAAAGATAATTTGTTGTTTGTATTTTTAACTCAATTAGCAATATACATTCTAGCTATTTTAGCCATGTAGTCAAGTGCTAGTTTTTTTTATTCATTCAAGCAATTGATAGAGTTACACAGGTTATCCACAAGTTTTTCGCTTACTTATACTGTGTGAAAGTCTAACTTTTGTCATTTCTAAGTTATTTATTTATGTGGTGGTGTATTCTTTTTAGACCATGAAGCCTTTGATCATCATGTTACATGTAAGTTTTTAAAGTGCATTATTGCTCATTCTTCCATAGAATTTTGAAGGAATTGGAATATAAAAATTCCTTTAGTTACAAATTTGGTAGACAAAATGGATTGAAAATGAATCCCATCAAATTTCCCCAAAATCTGTATTCATAGGATTTTATCATTCCTAGGGAAGAATCAAAATTCCATTATTTATTTATTCATTAAAAAGATTGTTTATTGTTTTATTAATTGTTTATTTGCCCATCATAAGTACTTTTTAATGTTGTATTTGTTTTAGGTTAAATTCTTTATTCAGTAAATAGCAGTTTTATTGTTTTTTTTTTTAAGAAAAAATCACTGAAGGGTGTTTTGGTCTTTTAACATGGTTTTCACTTTTCATTTCAATTGTTTTGATAGATTTGCAAAATAAACGCAAAACAACAAATGAATGGAATCTAATCCTTTCTGTTTCCTGTCAACCATGCACATGACAGATTCCAATTCCTTTGACAAATTCCATTCATTTTAAAAATATTCTGTGCACCACAACTTCCCTCTACTTGCTATTCTTAATTCTAAGTCCTTTGATAGATTCCATTAATTGCTATTTTCTTAATTCCAATTCCTTTGACAGATTCCGTTCATTACTCTGCAACAAGAAAAATAAAGAAGTTATGGTGGAAAAAAAGGAAAGAAGAAGCTCGAGAATTAAGGTGTATGTTTTTACCCTTAACTCTATAAAACACTTGATGATTTTTATGATCTTATTTAGTTTTTCTGTTAATGTTTAAAGGCACACTTTTAGTTCCATTGAATCTCAAGTAAGGGTGCTGTGTTGGGTTTTTTCCCCCTATTATATTTTCAAAGTTTTAAATCATCTTTCTTTATGCTTTAGATGTATTAGACTACTACAGGTAATGCCCAATCTTACAGGTCCAGTTGCTGATGGAAGAGATGGCATTATTAGTTTATTTGTATCATTTTCAGAACTTATTATTCAGGTACTTCAAGTCTTTTTTGTTGAATCACAATTTAGTGTTTGACTTTTCACTAATTCTGTCTTGTTATCATGATAACAGACTTAAACATCTCCAATAACATGAGTCAGTGTTTCATGACTTTTGCCATTTTGATTACTGATTTAATGGTGTTAATAACTTAAAGGTAAAAAGGAACTTTTTACCCAAAACGAATCTTTCATATTCTTGTTTAAAGGTACACTCAGGTGTTGGGTGATTTTTTTTCATTGAAATGTACCACCACAAAAGGGGTGTGTCTATTATCATGGAATGATGAAAAAATCTGCAAAAATGTCAATCAATAACATAACCCCAAAATTTTGACTTTGTTGATTTCAAAATCAGTTAGATAGATATCTACCCTTTTCAAGATTTGAAGTACATTTTATCACCTGATATCTATATCTACATTGATGCGCTTAATTCCAAAATATTTTGAAATCATGATTCGTTAATAATGCAGATAGATAGATGCTCATAGATCCCCATTGGCTGCAAACAACATCCTAACAGGGGACATTTGTTAATTAGGGTTCATTATGTTTCAGAAGCAACCAAGGTGAAAAGCAACATACATAAACATTTATGTTGTTTGGTTCTTCAAATCTATCTCATTCCATTTGTTTATTATACTAATACCAAAACTTTTTGATCTTATTCAGTCTTATAGTTTCCGAAGGGGAACATTCTCCAGTCATTTGAAGCTGAAGAAACTATAACTTTTGCCACTATACTAGTAGTATGATGCTGTTGATCATCAAGGGTAAACTTGTCCAAAAATATCAATTTTGGCTGGAAAGTAGGAGTGACAGGTGAAATGGTACATAACCTTTTTGTTAAACGAAAACTGATAACTTAAAAATTCTCCAATCATTTACCACTTAAATTTTATTTTATTTAATCTACCCTCATCCTACTTTCATTGCTATGAAAAAAATAGCATGCTACTTGCATTTTTATCCATATGGTAAGCAGTTTTCACTGCTGATTTTACAACATATAAGAAAAGAGTTAAAAGTTCAATGCTACCTTTTCTATCACCAACTGGTGTTAAGGTTTTACTATTATTTTCAAAACTTATTATTCAGGTAACTTCAAGTCCTTTCGTTCAATCACAATTTAGTGTTCCACTTTTTGCTAACTCTGTCAAAATAACAGACTTAAAACATCTCCAATAACATGAGTTGATCTTTCGTGATTTCTGCCATAAGAATTGGTGCTTTTTAGGCAAGTAACATGATACTTCTCCAATTAGGGAAAGATAATTTATTGTTTGTAGATTTAACTCAATTAGAAGTATAACTGTATTTTAGATCTAACTAAACGTTGCATATAAATTATAAAGTTGTGTGTTTTTGTTTAATATAACTGTATTAGGATGAATTCGGTGTGTCTATTGTCAACCAACTACTGTATAATTTGCATATCTGAAAGTGTTTTTTGATTGTCATTGCTACAAAAATATGTGAACCTATGTTTGTAATATTTTTTCTGCAGGATTTTAGAGATTGAAAATTGATTTTTGGGGGGGCATAAATTGCATTATTATTCATGTTACATGTAAGTTTTTAAAGTGCATTATTGCTCATTCTTCCATAGAATTTTGAAGGAATTGGAATATAGAAATTCCTTCAGTTACAAATTTGGTTGACAAAATGGATTGGAAATGAATTCCATCAAATTTCCCCAAAATCCGTATTCATTGGATTTTATCATTCCTAGGGAAGAATCAAAATTCCATTATTTATTTCTTCATTAAAAAGATTTTTATTGTTTTTATAATTGTTTATTTGCCTTCGTAAGTCCTTTTTAATGTCGTATTTGCTTTGAATTAATAGCAATTCTATTATTTTATTAGAAAAAATCAGTAAAGGGTGTTTTTGTATTTTAACATAGTTTTTCACTTTTCACTTGAATTCATTTGATAGATTTGCAAAATAAACACAAAACAACAAATGAATGGAATCGGACAAATTCCATTCATTTTAAAAATATTCTGTTCACCACAAGTTTCCTTTACTTGCTATTATTCTTAATTCCAAGTTCTTTGACAGATTCCATTCATTACTCTGCAACATGAAAAGGTTTTAGAAACCAAATAAAGAACTTATATGGTGGAGAAAAAGAAAAGAAGATAGCCTTGAGAATCAAAGTCTATGGTTTTATGTCCTTATTTAACGCGATAAAACACTTGATTATTTTTTATGTCCTTATTTAGTTTTTTTTGTTGATGCTTACTTTTAGTTCCAATGAATCTCAAATAAGGGTGTTGTGTTGGGTATACTTTATCAACAAACTGGAGTGGCTAGCTGTTGATCATGCATATTCATTTATCACTGTCCCTTTATACGACACCCTTGGTTTGTCCCCTCATTATATTATCAAAGTGTTAAATCATCTTTCTTTATGCTTTAAATGTATTAATCTACAGATAATGCCCAATCTTACAGGTCCAGAAGAAGAGATGACATCAGCTTAGGTGCTGTTTGATTTTTCAGTAACTCTGTCTTGTTATAATGATACTTCATCTTGAATTAATAAAAAAAAGATGTTGAATTTGTAATTTAGTATGCTTGGCAATTCTTTACAAAAGGTATTTGTTATTTAGTCAATTCTTTTATTTACTTGAAAAGTGTACTTTTTATTTAGTGAATTGGGACATTAGAGAAGGGAAATGTTAAAAACAAGTGGTCAATATAAAGAGGTAATAATCAGTTCTCTTTTGTGAATAAAAATATTGTATATGGACCCAAATGTTACAAGAACCTCAAATATGGACCCAAATTCATAAATTTGCTATGATCAGGGACCAAAAGTGTACTTTTTTTTTTGCTTATTAGGACATTAAGCAGCGAAATCGAGTTGTATTGTATGGCATTTCTAAAAGTGAGTAGATTTTTGTTTTTAAAAAAAAATTACTGAAAAGTACATTGCTAGGACATCACACTCTAAAAAGTACATTATAAGGGAATTGCATTAGGAAAATTTTATGCAGTAATAGCGTTTTACTTTTAATCTTTCATATTAGGACATCACACTCTAAAAAAAATCTATCTGAGCATAGCTGTGAAAGTTGCTTTGTATCTTGATGACATTGCTATACTTGGGAAAAAATTTCTTTGTATAAGGGTATAGTTAGAAAAATTGAAAGTAGGATGCAACCTATATTGATCTATACTATTCCTCCTGTATCAGACCAATACTTTTTTCCCCCTTCTATTTAACATATCCATATATCACATTTCTTATTTGTTTTTTTTAATCAACTTCTTTCAGGACTTTGTACATTTTCACCATGTTTGGATGATTGGTTTCTAGCATTTCCAGCAAGTACCACAAAAGGGGTGTGTCTATTATCATGGAATGATGAAAAAATCTGCATAAATGTCAATCGATAACATAACCTCAAAATTTTGACTTTGTTGATTTCAAAATCAGCTAGTATTTTTTCAAAGCGTAAGATTTGAGAAACCCATGTTTGATTTCATGTGTAGATATCTACCCTTGGTCACTACATGTATTATTTTTTAAGATTTTAAGTACGTTTTATCACCAGATTTCTATATCTACACCGATGCACTTAATTCCAAAATATTTTGAAATGATGATTTGTTAATAATGCAGATAGATGCTCTGCACCGATGCATTTAATTCCCAAAATGTTCTGAAATAATGTTTCATTAATAATGCAGATAGATAGATGCTCATAGATGCTGCAGTGCTGACACAGCAACAACATCCTAGCAGGGGACATTCATTAATTAGGGTTCAGTCTATTTCAGAAGCAACCAAGTTACCAAGGTAAAATACAATATATATTCAGAAATTTGTGTTCTTTGGTTCTTCAAATCTATCTCATTCCATTTGTTTATTTTACTAATTCCAAAATTTTTGATCATGTTCAGTCTTATAGTTTCAAATATCAATCAACTGTATAGCTTCCTGGTATTTTTGTAGCTACAAGCTCTGATCAAACGTGAAGAAACTACAGCTTTTGTTACTCATGATTTTTTTGTTTGGGAAATCAGTTGAATTTTTTTGACCCTTTACCCAACAAAAGAGGATGTGGATGAGGTTCTTTCTGAAAAAAAAAAAAAGAATAATTTTATTTAAGTAATTTTATTATCTACTGATAATAATAAACTCTTAAGTGGAAATTATTCCTTTGTTACATGGTTTTTGTTGGTCATTTTTATTTTGTTATTCAACTGACATGTTTTGCGTGTTTGGGTGTGTTTTGAGAATGTATTTCAGATTCTAACATTTACCAAATCAGACCAAAACTTTTTTGTTCTTCTCATTAACATATCCATGTATCATTACATTTCTTATTTGTTCTTTTTAATCAATTTCTTTCAGGGCTTTGTGGATTCTCACACTGTGATGTGAGGTTAATTATTATCATGGAATGATGTAAAAATCTTCAAAAATTTCACTTGAGTTATAACTCCAAAATTTTGACTTTGTTGATTTCAAAATCAGTTATTATTTTGTCAAAGCATATGATTTGAGAAACCCATGTTTCATTTCATGTTATTGTATAAAGGTACTCTTTTACTTCCATCGAATCTCAAATAAGGGTTTTGGGTGATTTGTCTTCATGGAAACGATATGCAGGTGTACAGGTAGCTATGAGTCTATGACCCTGTTTGTGTTTTTCCAGAAATACCCTTTTCCTAAAACTTTTGCTTATCTTTTATCGTCAAATAAAAGATGATTGGTCAAGCAATTTGTGATGTTTTGTTAGTAAAACTTTGATAGTTTTGAAAACCTAAAAAAGTTTTGTTAAGCTGTAGATTGTTCTTCTGTGCACTTTAGGTGTTTGATGAAATGTCTTGATTAAGTTCAAGAGTTGTTTTGCTTTGTTTTGAGGGTGAAAATGTTATTGGATCAAATTATGTAGAGAAATTCACAAGCCAAAATAAATATTAAACAACTTATTGAGCTTTTAGAGATTCAATCAGGGAAAGATAATTTAATGTTTGTATTATTAACTCAATTAGAAAGAGATAGAAGTGTTATTTGGTTCTAACCAAAAGTTGCATATAAAGTTGTGTGTTTACTGTTTAATTAAGTTGGGATGAATTTGGTGTGTTGATTGTCAACCAATTACTGTATAATTTGTTATTTTTTTTTTCATTCAAGTAGGTGACAGAGGAAAGGGTAAAAGAAGTTATCTGTAAGCTTTTCACTTAATTATACTGTCTGAAAGTTACACACAGTTCTAAGAGTTGGGATGAATTTGGTGTGTGTATTCTTTTCAGACCATGAAGCTTTTGATCATCAGGTTACATGTAAGTTATTAAAGTGTAATATTGCTCATTCTCCCATTTAAATTACATGGCATTAATTATAATGAGCATGCAGAAATGACAGACAACACTTGGAAGAGGGGGCTTTTCACTAATTCTGTCTTGTTATCATGATAACAAACTTAAACATCTCCAATAACATGAGTCAGTGTTTCATGACTTTTGCCATTTTGATTACTGATTTAATGGTGTTATTAACTTAAAGGTAACAAGGAACTTTTTACCAAAACAAATCTTTCATGTTGTTGTTTAAAGGTACACTTAGGTGTTGGGTGATTTTTCTTCGTTGAAATGTACCACAAAAGGGGTGTGTCTGTTATCATGGAATGATGAAAAAATCTACAAAAATGACAATCAATAACATACCCCCAAAGTTTTGACTTTGTTGATTTCAAAATCAGTTAGATAGATATCTACCCTTGGTGCAGTTAATTCCAAAATATTTTGAAATCATGATTTGTTAATAATGCAGATAGATGCTCATAGATAGATCCCCATTGGCTGCAGTGCACACATAGCAACAACATCTTAACAGGGGACATTCATTAATTAGGGTTCATTCTGTTTTAGAAGCAACCAAGGTGAAAAGCAACATACATATAATTTTTATGATCTTATTCCATTTGTTTATTATTACTAATACCAAAACTTTTTGATCTTATTCAGTCTTATAGTTTCCGAAGGGGGACATGTCCATCAGTCTTATAGTCTCCAGTCATTTGAAGGTGAAGAAACTATAACTTTTGCCACTATACTAATAGTATGATGCTGTTGATCATCAAGGGTAAACTTGTCCAAAAATATCATTTTGGCTGGAAAGTAGGAGTGATGGGTGAAATGGTACATAACCTATTTGTTAAACGAAAACTGATAACGTAAACATTCTCCAATCATTTACCACTTAAATTTTATTTTATCTAATTTACCCTCATCCTACTTTCATTGCTATGACAAAAATAGCATGTTACTTTCATTGTTAGGACAAAAATAGCATGTTACTTGCATTTTTATCCATATTGTTACAACATATAAGAAAAGAGTTAAAAGTTGAATGCTATGATCGAGATTATAATGGTTAAGCATTTGTTTCAAGATTCTTTACTGAAATGATGCTGCAACCCTCAACAACTGATAGAATCTGAATAATTAGCAGGCAACTGACACTTTAATTTTAAAAAAAAAAAAAAAGATAGGGCCCAATTCAAAACTCATTATTCAGGTAACTTCAAGTCCTTTTGTTCAATCACAATTTAGTGCTCCACTTTTTGCCAACTCTGTCAAAATAACAGACTTAAAACATCTCCAGTAACATGAGTTAATCTTTCGTGATTTCTGCCTTAAGAGTTGGTGCTTTTTAGGCAAGTAACATGATACTATTCCAATTAGGGAAACATAATTTATTGTTTGTAGATTTAACTCAATTAGAAATATAACTGTATTTTAGATCATGCATATAAATTATAAAGTTGTGTGTTTTTGTTTAATATAACTGTATTAGGATGAATTTGGCGTGTCTGTTGTCAATCAACTACTGTGTAATTTGCATATCTGAAAGTGTTTTTTGATTGTCATTGCTACAAGAATATGTAGACTTGTGTTTGTAACTTTCTTTCTGCAGGATTTTAGAGATTGAAATTTGATTTTTGGGGGGCATAAAGTGCATTATTTATTTATTTATTCATGTTACATGTAAGTTTTTAAAGTGCATTATTGCTCATTCTTCCATAGAATTTTGAAGGACTTGGAATATAGAAATTCCTTCAGTTACAAATTTGGTTGACAAAATGGATTCCATCAAATTCTCCCAAAATCTGTATTCAAATGATTTTATCATTCCTAGGGAAGAATCGAAATTCCATTATATATATTTCATATTACTCTATTTTAACGTTTAGTAATTGTTTTAAAATAAAATCTTATTTCAGTAAATAGCAATTCTATTTATTTATTAGAAAAAATCACTAAACTGTGTTTCGGTCTTTTAACATAGTTTTCACTTCAACTCGTTTGATAGATTTGCAAACTAAACACAAAATAACAAATGAATGGAATCTAATCCTTGGTTTTAAAAAGCGGCGCTTTGGACCGCTTAAAGCGCTAGGCGCTCATATGAAAACCAAAAACGCTTTTGAATTAGTAATGCGCTTAGATTACTTTACTCGCCGCTTTAGTCGGCGCTGGGCCAGGTTTAGTGTATTTTTAATTAGATACGTAGGAAGTAGGGTTATTAAAATAAGAATTCAACCGTCACAACACAAAGACAACATCAGTAGGCGGGAAAACGTTTCTTCTTCTCCATATTCATCTTCAGCCTCCTGTCCTCCTCTCTCCTCTGAATTCTGAACACAACGTTTGGAACTTGGAATCAAGTGAAGAGGTGGAAGAGGATATCGGAAGTGATTGTGGAGGAGATGATAGTGTCCAAGTTGATGATGATGATGACCGTTTCGCGTATTTTTAGTTTTTATGATTAAGGATTAGGAATTTAGGACTTAAGTTCTGCCTTTTTTGATCATATGCCTATGCTACTTTTAACTTTTGAAATTAATGTCTTATGCAATATGCAGGATATGTTTTTTTTAAGTATTTATATATAATTTCTATATATATATATATATATATATATATATATATATATATTTTTAATAACGGGGGCTTCGTGTGCTCTAAGCGGGCGCTTTCGCTTAGCGCTTAGCGCTTTTACTCCCAAAGCCCAAAGCGCTTTGAGGCGCTTTACGCTATTTAAAACCTAGATCTAATCCTTTCCATTTCCAATTCCTTTGACAAATTTCATTCATTTTAAAAATATTCCATGCACCACAAGTTCCATGTATGACCGTGTTTGTGTATTTCCAGAAATACCCTTCTGTTCCAACCAGAGTCTGTTTATTATCTTGATGGGATTAACATACTTCATATCGAATCAATCAAAAAAAGATGTTGAATATTTTGGAAAACACCTTCAGCACTTATTTAGCACACCTGGTAAGTCTTTATAAAAGATATTTGTTATTTATTCAATTCTTTTATTTTTTAAAAAGTGTACTCATTGTTTAGCGAATTGGGAAATGCCACATGGTGTGATCTTGGGTGGGCTGAAATGTTAAAAACAAGTGTTCAATATAAAGAGGGTACTGGTGTTTACTTTTGTATCTCTTGTGAGATAATAGTCATTTCTTTTTTGTCAATGAAAATATTATATTTATATTTGAAACTTTTGTTAAAAAACACACTTTCTATTTTTATAAGAACAACATGGAGTAATAATATTCTGGATCATGTCTATTTTTATATGAAAAATTAAAAAATATCATACTTTTTCTTCCTACTTATCCTCCTACTCATATAAGATTATGACATGTAGAAACCACTAATTCTTTCTCGTAATCTCCTCTCTTGATTTTGAAACTTGTCTTGATCTAACGAGTAGAAGGATAAGTAGAAAGAAGATGTAGGATAGTATTTGATTTCCCTTTTCATATAGGATAGTAAGCTAGTTGTAAATGTGTTATTGAAGTTTGATATAATATGCCTACCAATTTGGTTGAAATTACGATATTGCCCTCTTTGGACACCGGTGGTATGCTTTTCTTGAAAGGGTTGATGTTGCAATGAAACATATGTTGGAAAGTGTGGCTTGTAGTCATCCAGTTAAAGAAGCTGATGAGTACTCTTTTTTCATTGTTTAATATAATAGTCTCTTTGAAAAATAAAAAGGGAATTATTGTGGTTTATTTTGAATGAAACAGTTCTTTAAAAATTTTACCCGATTATAGCATTGTACTTCCATTTTTTTTTTCTTATTGTGTCATTATACTTGGAATAATTTGCCCACTTATAGTATTGTACTTTCATTTTTTTTTTATCTTATTAGGACATTATGTACATAATCACATGCCAAATTAAAATATTAAACAACTTATTGAGCTATTAGAGATTCAACTAGGGAAAGATAATTTATTGTTTGTAGATTTAACTTGAATTAGAAATAGACCTGTATTTTAGATCTAACTAAAAGTTGCATATAAAGTTGTGTGTTTTTTTAATTAAGATAGGATAAAATTGGCGTGTTGTTGATTGTCAACCAACTACTGTATAATTTGCATATCTGAAAGAGTTTTTTGATTGTCAATGCTTCAAAAATATGTGGATGTGTGTTTGTAATTTTCTTTCTACAGGATTTTAGAGATTGAAATTTGATTTTTGGGGCATAAGTTCATCAAATGCTTAAATCTCAATCAAATGAGTTGTTGTGATTATTTGTGGGCTTGTTTATGTCATCACCTCCTATTTCCTAGAATTCAAGATTAAAGAACACAAGTTCTTTGTTAGGTCAAAACAGTGTATCCTGTTTTTTTTGTATGTGTTTCTGAATCGCATTGTGTGATATATAGATGATATGAAAAAGATGAAGCTTTGTTGCATTTAGCCCCAAAAGAATGTTTAGAGCTTGTTGTAGTCACTAATTCAAGTTCAAACTGCATCAGTTGTTCTCTACAACCAAATGTTGAGGTATAAATTAATCTATCTGTTTACATGTTCACATCATTCATCACATGTTACAATGCTGAGGTATAAATGTTGATGTATAAATTTATCTTAATTGGAAAATTTTCCTTTGTTACATGGTTTTTCTATAGCTTTGTTGATCGTTTTGTTGGGGGTTTCGTTTCTATATTTTCATTGTTTTTTTTTCTCTTTCTAAAATCTGATTTTGACAATGTCTGGTAGGCTTATTTCAGAATGTGTTTCTTTGATTTTGTTGATCATTTAATAATGTTTTGCATGTTTGGATGGGTTTGAGAATGTATTTCAGATTCTAACATTTACCAAATCAGACCAATACTTGTTTTTCTTCTCTTTAACATTTCCATGTATCACATTTCTTGTTTATTATTTTTAATCAATTTCTTTCATGGCTTTGTGCATTCTCACACTGCGTTGTGAGGTTACTTATTATCATGGAATGATGAAAAAATCTTCAAAACTTTCACTTCAGTCAAATAACATAACCCCAAATTTTTGACTTTGTTGATTTCAAAATCAGTTATTTGAACCACAAGTCCCATAGCATTTTTATGACATTAATTGCTATTCTTAATTCCAATTCCTTTGACAGATTCCATTCATTACTCTGAAAGAAGAAAAGGTTTTAGAAACCAAATAAACAACTAACTTATGGTGGAAAACTAGAAACCAAGATGCTTCCGAGAATCAAGGTGTATGTTTTAACTCTTAACACTATAAAAACACTTGATGATTTTTATGCTCTTATTTAGTTTTTCTGTTGATGTTTAAAGGTACACTTTTAGTTTCATTAATAAGGGTGTTGTGTTGGGTTATTATGAAATTGCTTTATCAAATTACCACCTTCTATCCACTGATTACAAGCTGACAAAGCATGGAAACGATGTGCAAGAGTATATGTAACTATAGCTATGAGTGTATGACCCTGTTTGTGTATTTTCAGAAATACCCCTCTGTTCCCAAAACCTGTGTCTATTCATTATCTTGATGGGATTAACATACTTGATGTTGAATCAATCAAAAAAAAGATGTAGAATATTTGGAGAACACCCTCAACACTTATCTATACGCCTGGTAATTCTTTACAAAAAGATATTTGTTCTTTAGTCAATTCTTTTATTTATTTAAAATAAAAAATGTGCTTTTATTTATGGAATTAGGACATCAGGGAAGGAAAATGTTAAAAAGAGGGGCTGAAATGTTAAAAGTAAATGGTCAATATAAAGAGGGGATGGTGTTTACTTTCGTATCTCTGGTGAGATAATAATCATTTCTTATTTGCTAATGAAAATATTATATTTAAATATGAAAAATTTTCAAATAAACTTCAATGGTTTGTGCACTACCCTTTAGTCAAACCAAATTATGTTAAGAGTGTATGGTTTAGCATCTCATTCTTTAGTTTTTGTTACTGGATCATATCTTAATACTTTAATAGTTAAGTAACACTATGTGATATATGAATGATTCATCTATCTTTTTAGAGTAATATTACATTTTTGTCCCTGAGTGTAGCTGATTTTTTCAGTTTTGGTCCTTTGAGATTTATGATTTTTTTTTTTTTTTTTTTTTTAAATTATTGTTCAAAGTAAAATGACAATCTTTTTGGGACCAAAATTACAATAATCAGCTATTCTTACTTGGAACAACGACCAGAAATGGTACATGTCAAATTCATCAGGGACCAAAAGTGTATTTTACTCTTCTTTTTTAAGTTTGCGTGCTTTACATTCTTCTGACAAGTTTCGCCTTTTGTATCCAGACAAAACATGCGATGTGTACAGATAGAAATGTTTTATTTTTGCTTTTAAAGGAACAACATGGAGTCATTAAAGTTTGATATAATACACCAAATTGTTTCTTTTCACGAATTTTTATTCATTACTCTGCAACAAGAAAAGGTTTTAGAAACTAAATAAAGAACTTATGATAAACAAAAGGAAAAAAAGATGCCCCTGAGCATCAATGTGTAGGTTTTTACCCTTGACAATGTAAAGCCCCTCATGTCTTTTATGTTCTTATTTAGTTTATTTTTTTGTTATTGTTAAAAGGTACACTTTTAGTTCCATTGAATCTCAAATAAGGTTGTTGGGTGATTTGCCTTCATGGAAACGATATGCAGGTGTACAGGTATCTATATTTAAGAGTCTGACCCGTTTTGTGTATTTCCAGAAATACCCCTCTGTTCCTAAAACTTGTGTTTATCTATTATCTTCAGGAAAAGATGAAGTTGTATTGCATTTAGCCCCATAAGAATGTTTAGAACTTGTTGTAGTCCATCATAAAAAAAAACTCTTTGTCTTTATTGTTTAATTTTTTGAATTGAAATCGGTCTGTTGAATATAAGATTACAAAGAAAATAATTATACACTTCAACCCTACCTACATACAGGGTATTTAATAAAAGATATAAAAGAAACTTGTGGGGCAGATGCAATAAATAACAACTCGCTTTCCTTCCTTTGTGTTTTACAGCATCCTAGTTTCATTTCTTTCTACTTCAGTATTGTACTTTCAACTTTTTCTTATTATGACTCTGCACGTATAAAAATTTAACCAGTCATTATAGCATAGTACTTTTAGCTATTTTTTTATTAGGTCCTTGTACTTTTAGATGTCGATAGCATTTTAGTTTCATCTTTTTTCTTATTAGGGCATTATGCTTTGAAAACTCTACCCAATTATACCATTGTACTTCAATTTTTTTTCTTATTGTGACATTGTACTTTGAGTATTGTAATTTTGAACTTTTTTCTTATAAGGGCATTACATTATGAAAATTCTATGCATACTTTTCAAAGTACAATGCTATAATTGGAAATGTTGTAATACACAAATCAATAAAAGTAGATTGATATTTCTTGCATTTAAACCAATATTGATGTATGTTATTCCTCTTGTTTTAGAAGTAAAGTGTGTGGATGTTCCTGAAAT